CGCACCCCCCCGCCGGGCGGGCAGCGCCCCCGCCCCGCTAACTGCCCTCTCCCCCGCAGAAACGGAAGCTGCTCCCCGAGGCCGTGCTGCAGGAGCTGGCCGCCGCGCCGCCCGCACGGTGAGGGGGCGATGCGAGGCGGGCGGGCGGGCGCTGGGGAGTCTCGGCGAGAAACCCGTCCCGGCCGTGGTGCGGCCCCTTCGGGTGCTGGCGTTGGGAGGACGGGCTGGGAAGGGGAGCTCCAGCGGCTTTGGGTGAACGAAGGGAGCGCGACTCGGAAGAGTAACGTGTTGCCTTCTCCTTACTCCACAGACCCGATGGGCAGGCTGCGGCAGCTAACCGAGGTATGCCCCAGCTCGTTTTGCTAGCGCGGTGCTCGTCCTGGTACCTCAGGACTTCATTTCTGTGCTAGCGCTGCAACGGTGTAGTGCTCTGGTACGGAGACCTTCTGAAAGCCTGAAACGTGAACGGACTGGGCAGATTGCCTGTTGCCGAGGAAGACTATCTGAGCAAAAACCTAAAGTCGCATCTAGTCTGATTCCTGCGCCTTTTACAAAAGTTGTTTGCTGTACAAGGATTTCAGTTAAACTAGCCCAAGGTGTTTCAGGAAATAATGGGCAGGTGTTACAATAGAAAAAGCAAGGATTACCAGAGGGAGATTAATGGTTAGCATTTGCTTAAGTTATAAAGGCTGTTCCTGGATAGAGTTGTTAATTGCCTTGATACTTTACATATCGTACCATGGTTTAATAGCATCTGTAAAAAATTAGGTAACTTTTTTCCAAATTCTGAACTAGAAAATCAGGAGTTTAGAGTATTCATGACTGCTGTTTTCTAGCCCTCTTCATCTGTACTTCAAAGTAATTTACAAAACAAAAAAATGTTTATTTTTGGGGTTTTTTTTTAAACAATTCTCTCATCCATACCTCACGTAATTATATAGCTGGATGGTGTGATTGCTGCTTTTTCTTCCTTTTATTATTTTTTAAAAAAAAACCCTGTTGGCATAAACAAGAGATGAGCTCAGGATGGTGCTTTGAAAACTCCGTCTCCATTGTACTTATTTAATGGCGAGGAGGAAGCCGAGGCTGGACTCCCCTTTGCGTGTTCCTCGTAGCTGTTGTGTTGCATTGAATTTCTGTCCTATGATGGATCCCGTTTTGTGGTGTCGATGCCAAGGGAGGGGAGAGCTGGCTAGCGGTGCTTCGGGTGGCTCCCCTGAGGCGTGCTTCTTCCCCTCCCTCTCACAGCCCTTCTGTGAGGGCAACGCTTTCTGGCTCTTACTGGTCAGAGCTTCTGAAAAATGCCTGCTGGAGTAAACTGAAGACATCTTATTTTTCACAGCCGAGCTGTTGTTTCATTCCTGTTCCTCTCTCACTTACAGCTCTTGATTTATAACACTTGGGAATTTTTTTCTGTTTTCTGTTAAATTTACTCTAGGTAAACGCCGTGGAGGGGGGGCTCCGAAGCAGAGACAAGGCCAAGTCCAAAGGCGGCTGAAGAAAGACGAGCAAAGAAAGGGTGCCAGGTATGCTGGGAGAAGATGTGGGGTGTCTGTCCCCGTGTGGCAGTGCTGCTTCTGCCTGCTTGGGGAGGGGGCATCACAGCAGCTGTTCTGTCACTACATGGCTGTATTCTCTTCTTCACTTGGTGTTCCCCCTCCTCTTCCTCTGATTGAAAGCACATTTATGTGCTAAAAGCGCCTTTAATTATGCTTCTGATACAGCATACTTGTAAAATACATATATACACATATATATAAAAAATCTACAATATAAATAATTTTTATATATTATTATCCTGGTTTTGGCTGGGATAGAGTTAATTTTCTTCCTAGTAGCGGGTACA